AAAGGAATGGCTTCACCAGAAGAAAATTAAAACCTTTGGAATGACCCAGCCAGAGCCCAGACCTAAATATGACTGAAAATCGGTGGGGCGACCTGAAGAGGGCTGTGCACAAGAGATGCCCTCGCAATCTGACAGGTTTGGAGCGCTTTTCCGAGGAAAAGTGGGCAAATATTGCCAAGTCAAGATGTGGCATGATGATAGACTCCTACCCAAAAAGACTGAATGCTGTAATTAAATCAAAAGCTGCTTCAACAAAGTATTAGTTTAGGGGTGTTCACACTTATGCAACTGACTTATTGTAAGTTTGTTTTGTGTTTTGTAAATTTTTCCCCCTAACAGATTTGTCTGTTTTTCAGTTGAATTGTTCAGGTTCTAGGTCACATTAAAGGTGGGGAAAGTTTTTAAATGATTTATTGGTCCCATTTTTTTACATCACAAAACCCTGGCATTTTAACAGGGGTGTGTAAACGTTTTATATCCACTGCAAGTATGTACTTTGAGGTCATGTACAAGCGATAACATTTTATGACGTGAGATTAGAGTTTCGTCTTTTGAGGGCAGGAGTCCTACCAAGCCAAAGATAAGGTCTAAATACTAAACCTCTTAATGCTGGGGTTTATGTGCACATGGATCTTGGGTACATCCAGTCAGCTAACTGCACATGCATGGTAGGGTATTACACTGAAGATAATGTGACATTGTGATTTGCCACACTTACCGCACAACAAGTCCTTGTCTTCTTTGCTTTATGCTGTGAAAAGTGCTACTTTCTATCCCCTAGTTGTGCGTGCATCTCTGTGGCGGCATTGCACAGTAACCTGTCTATCGGACTGCTTCACTGGCTCTTCCTGCACGACATCACCTTGTGCCCTCTTTTGTATCAGTGGCAGATTGAAGCGTATGCCGCACCTGTGGTGTTGCTGAACATGGCTTTGCGCCAAATAAAGCACAATTAACTTCTGCCGCTGTTGCTTGCACGTTGCTTGTTAAGGTCAGAAGTAGGGATTGCCAGATTCTTTTATCCCGAGGTATTTATAGGTCTGATTGAGTAGTAATTCCTCAAACTCTTGGCCGCTGAGTTGAACGGGTCCTTCGCCAGTTATTATCGGCTCTTTACCTTTTTTGCTGATATCGCATGTGAATATCTCCATAATATCTCCTAATAGCATGTTAGGCTCTTGAAGTCCTTTTGCGTAGAGCTTTAGGTCATCCATATATAACAGATGGTTAATGAGATGACTGTGACTTTTGACTTTGTATCCAGTATTATTGTATGAAGCCAGGATTGTAGATTATTATTATTATTAATAATAATAATAATAATAATAATAATAATAATAATATTATTATCACTCCCTCAGGCACGGACCCCAGACCACATTCACTGAGATTCTCAATCATGCAATATCAGTACATTATTATTATTTTAATTTATTTATTTATTATTACTCCTTCGGGCACATAGCCGAGACCACATTCACTAAGACTCCATTTCCTGCACTGTCATTACAGTATTATTATTATACACATTCACTGAGACTCCATTTCCTGCACTGTCATTACAGTATAATTATTATTGTACACATTCACTGAGACTCCCTGTTCTGCATTGTCATTACAGTATTATTATTATTATACACATTCACTGAAACTCCATTTCCTGTACTGTCATTACAGTATAATTATTATTGTACACATTCACTGAGACTCCCTGACCTGCGTTATCATTACAGTATTATTATTATTATACGCATTCACTGAGACTCCATATCCTGCACTGTCATTACAGTATTATTATTATTATACACATTCACTGAGACTCCCTGACCTGCGTTATCATTACAGTATTATTATTATTATACACA